ATTTGTGAGCAAGTGGCAAGAAAATGCCTGCAGGTCATGCTGGGGCACATGGGAGGTTGTTATTTGATATTGAATTTGAAAGGACAATGAAACCTCAACATTTACCACATTAGATTGAAATTATTAAAAGCAGGTAGGTTGGCTGTTTGATGAATACAGACATTTGGCCTCGTGATTGCGCTCCCTGCTGTTTGATCTTCCTCTCAGCTTCATGTTTGAGCACGCTCCATTCATCATGGTTGACACATAAAGTCATCTCATATATTACTCTGCTGTGCTGTTGGACTCTGCTGTCATAAGTTTATAACAGTGCAACTAAAGATTTGTCAAATAAGTGTTGACACAAGTATAATTAAATGCACCCTTTAAGTAGATTATTAAAATTAATGAACAGTCTTATGGACATTGGTCATCTGCCTCTTGGACCGATGGCTTTATGTGTTTTTTTTATCATTGCATTTTCCTTAGTTTGATCTGGTTGATACTCTGATCTGTGTTGGCGAATCAACAACTTTGTAAAATCCTCCAAGTTGACTATTTTTGTAAATTGAGGGCTATACAAAAATACATTTAAATTGAAAAGGTATATAAGAGGATTTTCAACTTCCGGGTGGATCATCAAGACTATTGGTCCTCCTAATTGTCCATCATTCTGGTGATACGGGCTCGTCAAACAAGACCAGAGAGTTCTTTCAAAAAGTGGAGGGGGCGGTTCTTTCCTCAAATTTGGGAAAAATCCTCCGATAAACCTTTAATTTGATTTTAAATTTACACAAGCTTGACAATGTTCTATGTAGAGGAAGTCTAAATATTGAATTGTACAGTATGTTAATCATTAAGAACTTGAATGCATGGCAACAGCGCTTTTATCCGAGAGCATGTGACGCTAATGGTCATCAGCTGCTTTTAAATCGATCGTGTATTGACTTTCTCACCGCTGCTCAATGTGGTCTCAGAAAAAGAGGAAAGGGTTTGTTCAGGACAGTCATTTGTAGAAATAGATTTTTATCGATTTGTTGGAGACAGTCTTCAGAGGAAGCAAGGAGCTCAACATGAGACGAGACGTGACCAGATCAGAGCAGCAGGGAAGAAACAACTCAATGGATTTTCCTCCCAGAGAAAAGACGACATTCACAGACTTTCACCCGCATTAGAAGTTCTATTGTAATGAGCCCAAACCACTTGAAAGGAGAGTAGATGAGTGTGTAATGTCGACTTAATTATAATTCCGGGTATGTTCATAGTTAACCGGTTAACTTTTTTCTCAATGCTCCCATTTCATTCTTGGCACAATATGACAAACCCTTGCAGCAGTTTTAGAACCATTAAAACAACAGTAATGCCTCTAAATTAGTGTGGGCCTTTTCTGGCCATTTATTTTACAACCATGTGGTAATTTGGAGCATGCAATGTTTAATATTGAACAAAAAAATATGACATTTAAAATATTTCATCATTATTTTCATCACTACCTCACTGTCAAGCATTGTGCTTATCACCACCTTTTCCCTTTGCTTGGCTACATCCCATCCATCATTGCACATGTGCTGTTGATCACCAATTCTGTGTATTTATCGTGTTAATAACTACTGCCATTGTTAAAGCCGCAAGCGACGTCGACATCCGTACAAACATCCGTTCGAGTGAGGAATTGCATGTGCGGCACGGCACGCAGGTTTGTCCTACGCGGAAGACGTGGCGTTGCGGTTCGGCAGAGGCTGTGAATACGGCTACTCGATGCATGCGGCAAAAGCAGGAGATGAACATTGTTGATTTTTTTCCACTTGCCACACGTGGCAGAGAGCCGCAAAGTGGTAACGGGGACACTAGTGGTCAGAGCGAGAAGACTGAAGATATTCGTAAACAGCCAAAACAGGAGCTAAACCAGGATTAAACCAGGACTAAACCACCTGACATTGTGGGACAGTGCTTGTGAACATGTGCCTCCAGCCTGAGTTCTCATTCGCTCACACTTATTTCACGCTATCAAAATTTACTTTATGGATTGATGAATGAATTGTATTTAATGGCACCATTTATGAAATACTTAATGCATAGACCAAGAGCCCGCCAGTCTCAAAACTCCCACTTTTTGAAGGCACACAAAAGGTCCACATTACTTTGGACCTATATGATTAAACACACCATCATTAAGTCTTGTTATGCTCCTTTGAACGCAGGAATTGTGAAGGCTTGCTATGGCGACATGCCAGCAGAGCAGAGACTCATTCACGAGTCTCTGTTACTATTATTATCATTATTTTGACAACTAACAGCATAGTGTATTGTTTTCCCTGTTTTGACAACAGTATAATAGAACCTTTTTTTTTTAAACAAAACAAAAAACAGGCTTGCGTGTCATATTTGTAATCAATGTTGAAGTCTTCATTGATGTGGACCCAGGCGTTTCGCTGCCTCTCGAGGATGAAAGAGAAAGATTGCTCTCTAACTAAAGCTTAAAGGAATCCATGAAAAAACTATTCTGAGCATGTGCATGAAGGCCAAAAAGCACTGTAGTGATGTTTAAACCAGAGAAAACTAGAGTGGCCCTGTGGAAATAGCCTAATCATTGTCAGTGTTGGGCACGTTACTTTGAAAAAGTAATTAGTTATAGTTACTAGTTACTTCTCCCAAAAAGTAACTGAGTTACTAACAGAGTTACTCCACTATAAAAGTAACTAGTTACCAGTAAAAGTAACTATTGCGTTACTTTTTCGTTCTGGAACATAATCTGCACTCGACGTGCACATTTTCACCTTTAACCTCAGTGAGTTTGAAATATTGCCAATATTTCCATCCAGAAAAGGCTGTTTTGCTGCTGAAGTCCTGTTCACTCTTCATCTCTCTCTGTGCTGTAAGCACTAAACACAAACACCCGCCACTGTGAATGTGGAAACACCGGTGAAGCACTGACTTCAGCCCAATCAGATGAACATATACATCATATAAATCAAGTGGACATTTTGTTTGGCTACAGCAAAATATGTTTCATGCCCGCATAGTTTGTTCAAACAAAACGCAAAACTATGAGTTATGGGTCTTGCCTTATAAATGACCTGCACAGACCACTTCGGTTCAGACCAGTTTCATGTTTAAGTCCAGATAATAGTTTGAGCGTAGATATGTAATCCTCCATTTGGAAATAAGTCCAATGAGTTTTAAAAAGTAAAACAAAACGCGTGTCTCCTTCATAAACTCCTCTGTTTTGCTAGCGGCAGCCGGCTGCATCCAATTTCTAAAATCAACCGTCTTACATTTCACCTTTCTTTCTTATCATTCCTATAGTCATTGAAAAATTAGCCTGAGTGCATTTTAAATTATCTATTATATAAAATGTGTTATATGTATTTTAGCCAAACCTGTTGCTGTCCTTAGCAGATAAACCAGGAAGAGAAAGGAGCTTATCGATGGAATTGTATGCAGCCGACTTCTGCGCTCACATGCGCTCCTCTGAGGCCTCACGGTGATACAAGCCGTGGTTGAGCACGATTAAGACCCGTATTTGTTTCAAAAACACAATTTATGAGCCATCCTCTCAACTGTCGACATGTAGATTGTAAAGGAAATATGTTTTACATCAGCCAATAATTTCTGAGAGGTTTTCTCATCCTCCCTTCTCTCCTGACAACACGCACACGAGTCCTATCACGAAGTAAAAAAAGAATTTCATTTTGCGACTTGAGTAACGCGCAGTAACGGGGTGTCGGCAATGATAACGGCGTTATAGTTACAGTCAAAGTAATTAGTTAGATTACGCGTTACTGAAAAAAGTAACGGTGCTAGTTTATTCCCATCACTGATCATTGTTAATAATGTACAAATTCTGTTATGGAGACCCATTAGGTCTACCTCTAATATTGAGAGGGATGTCAGATTGATTTGACAGAGACATAAACCGATCAGCAAAGGGTGGATGTAGACGGGACAGCTGTGTGTGACAGGTCCGGTGGCTAATTGAGGTGAATTATATTTATAGAATGTGTGATATCATTAATCATTAATTTCTGCCGTTGAACTAATATTGCGTTTCTTGTTGTGGAAATGTTTGATTCCTTGATCTTTTGATGGTGAATCAAACACTTTGTAAAGTCCTCCTGTTGTGACTTATTTTTTTGTGTTGTGTGTGTTTTGTTTTGTCTGTTTGAGTGTCATGTATAGTATTTCTGTATACTCTGTTTTTGATTTCTACAGCATGGTATAGCATTGTATTGTGTGTGATGGGGGTTGGAATCAAATAAGCATTTTCTCCATCCAATTGGTCTGTTACATTGATATATTTGAAGATATGTGTTGTGCATAAATTGAATTGAATTGATTTGGACAACAACCAAAGAGTGTACTCTTTACTACTACAGAGAACCATCTTGTGCTGAAAAAAGTGACTTGCAGGCTAACAAAAAGTGCCAACAAAAGTTTAATGTGACAAAACGGTTATTTGTTCTCAACAAATTTAGGTTTTTGTTTACCTTTTTTCGTAGTAGGATAATTTCATTCATGTTTTAACCCCAAATCCAATTATTGGAGACCCTCCTCCTTATACTGGTGAAAGATTATAGCCCACTCTGGATTAGCTATTGTTGTCTTGTTCATTTAGATTTGTATATTAGATTTTGTAATTTGTTTGAAAATGACATTTCTTTGATCATGCTGATCATATCGTCTAGAGCAGTGTTTCTCTATAACACTAGTTTTACTCCTGCTCCTTCTGGTGGTACATGCATTCATCTGAAGTTAAATTAATTTCAAATGACCTGAACAAATATTTTAGTCCAACGGAAGAAATAGTTTTGCACTGATTTAGACCCATGAAAGTCCTGTTTCAGACATGATTTGGACATGGTGTACTCGCAAGGCCAAATATTTAGATATGGTGATACTCGGGAGGTCAAGATGGTACTTTATTTGAAATGTTTGACAACCACTGTTCTCGTAGCCTTGTGCACACTTGTTTTATGCCTGTTCCGGGTTAAGGTTAAGACTAACCCTTCTTCTATGTGTCCATTCTAATACTGTCTGTGCCAGAACAGATACTACTTATGGAAATTGTAATGTAATGTTTGTTTTCTACATTTTATTCAGGGAAAATCCTTTATCAAAGACGCTCTAAAATGCATGGCTCATGGGCTCCGGCACAAGTTCAGCTGCATCAGTCGTAAGTGTGCTTCCATTAAGGAGATGGTGTTTCAGCTGCAGAAGGAATGCTACATCAAACACAACCTGTGCTCTGCCGCTAAGGAGAACGTGGCCGTTATGGTGGAAATGATCCACTTCCAAGACCTGTTTCCCAAAGGGTGAGTTCAATGAGACGTTTGGTGATATTGGGGCTAAATAATACTTATCACCCACATTTGGGAACTCTGCTCATGTTGACTGTCAGTATAAACTTTTTTATATTTGTACTTTTTCATATTATGTTAATAGGCTGTCTTTCATTCATGGCTGGGTGATGGATTAATCATAAAATTAGGATATTTTTCATAGTACTGAATTGGAATGTGGTGCTGCAAAGTTGTCTGATGAGTTCTGAATGGTCAACTGATGACCTAACTATAAGTAGAGTCCACCAGACCGAATCTAATCTCAGTATAATTACAGCTGTTCTGCAGACATCCACAGCTGAGCAGGAGGAATATTAGTCATCCACTACACATATCTGGAATAGTGACAAATAGAAATCCATGTTGAAATAAAGCTGTAAAAAGCCAAGCTACATCCCACTCATCCCACTCATTTGCCTAAATGTAGCATAGTTTAGCAATGTTTATCTTGTGTTGTTCTTCTATATCAGACAAAACATAACAATGTTATTTCCTTGACATGCTTCAGCGCTAACTTCTGCTTGTCACACATGACTTGCCTTATCAGCTGTTTTTCCCAGGCGCCGTCAACCCCCGGCTGAGGGCCAGATTAAACTGTTTAACCCTGCTTCCTCTTGTATCATATTATATTTACTTTTGATCACTAAAGGACTTGCTCCGAGTCACTATTGTTTACCTTTCTTGCACTTTTTCCTTGTATAGCCATTGCATGGATTAGCTGTTGAATTGATTTGATTTGAGTTACCGTTTTGTGTTCAGCCCTTATGTGGAGCTGGTGAACATCCTCCTGAGCTGTGGCGAGGAGGTGAAGGAGGCATTAACCCGCAGCGTACGGCTCCAGTGTGAGCAGAACTGGGGAGCTCTGTGCGATAGCCTCAGCCTGTGTTCTTCTATGGCCCCATCCCCGGCCATCGTCTCAGCCACCGAGCACCGCCACACTGTACCCCAGCCTAACCCTGAACCAGTGCACCCCAAGCCTCCCAGACAAGGTGACAACAGGGACAAGCCCAGTAAAATGGGGTTCAGCACTCACCCTCGCAACCGCAGTGGACCCAGGCAAGCCCATGGCCCGGAGGTAGCGCTAGTGGCCGAGCAGGAAGCTGCAGAGGCCACTGACATCAGGAGGTGAAATGAAAAACAAAAAAACGAACTTGAAGATTACTTATTAACACATTTAAACACACGACACAAAGAGACTGAGCAGAAGGAAGTCCGGCTTTCCTGTTCATATTCCACCTTCTCCAGTCATTCCAGTGCTCCACTCGGTAAACTTGCAGGGTAATTGTGGTTTTGCTCTTATGCCAGAATAGGCCACAGTTTTTTTTTGAAAAAATAGTCGTTGTCATTAGCTTGATTATTTCATACTATTTTAGCTCTAATACAGCATTTCTCAAGTCCTACTTACAGTAAGATTTGAATATATTTGTATTATTTATTTAAATCTTTATGCAATGTTGAATTATCAACATGTACATAGGAAAATCTATATTTATATCTATCCATGTATAAATATAGTATCAATATGCAATTCTGATATTTGACATATTATGGTGTGCTGTCTGTTATCTTCTCAAAGTTTTGCACCACACATTACTATGTATATTACATACAAAATGTTATTTCAAAATGGGAATGTGTATTCTAGTTACTTGATGATATTGACAAATCATACAGGTTTCACGTCCAGTTCTGGCACATATGAAATGTAGTTCATAGAGGCTTCAATGCCAAAAAATAATTGTGCTTCGGAATGTGTAAGCCCACTCTAAACACTTGTATGATACTTAATAGTGGGCAACCATTGGCTTTTAGTCTGTAGTCAACTCCTCTCACTGTTGGATAGGGTACAGGAGACATTTTGCACCAATTCCAATCAAGACTTTAATTTGTTTTTTAAATGCTTTTGGGAATTCCTGCATCAGCTATCTCTAATAATAGCACAAGACTTGATACTCAGCTCTAAATCAATGTGCCTAAAACCTGTTATTGTCCACAGTGTCTTTGTGAATGGATGATATTGTGTAACAAGAAGGTTTTAAAGCTGTTTAACCATTGTAAAGCTATTTTCATTCATGTTGAGCCACAAAAGTCTTAGATGTTGCTTGATGATTGTCAAATGATTCGCACTGCTGCAGGTGTAGGTTTTATGCTACAAACCACCTTTAAAGCACAATGTGCACAATCAGATCAGATCCACCACCCCCTATGTGCTTTTACTGTATTTCATGCCTACAATTGTTACTTATCCATGAGTGAAAGATTCAGTGAAAGATTGTGAGATCAAAAGCCATGAATTGGTTGTTTTCCGATTCTTGAATGTGATGATGTCACACCTGCACATGGGGGACTAGAGGGACTTTTCCCTTCTGATCATATTTCTATGTTTAGGTTTTCAGTTGCACAATAATACGCCAAAAATATCCCCAATAACATTATTAATTTGACCTGCCCCCCATGTCTATGAAGTATATTAGGTGAATAGACTGTTAATACACAAACCCATTCATTTGAACCACAAGCATTTGCTTTTTAGTCACTCACCTCAAGAGTATGTACAAAGTAAGCACCCAGAAATTGTGTTAAGTCCGCACTTGGCGCTCTGCTGCTGTTATTCTAAATGTTATATTTACAGAGGCCACTTGAGAATTCCTCTGGCCCCAAGCCAAGATCCTGCAGCGCCAAACTCAGGGGAACGCAGAATGTTGTTACAACTTTTATCATGTCACCCCCTGACAATTTTCAGATGTCCTTGCCCCAAGCTTCTCCTCCTTTCAGGCCAGTCACAACCTTTAGCTGTGAAGTGTCTGAACACACCATATAGAAAGTTCAAAGAGCAACATTCATTCTTCTTTTGTATTGTTTTTGCTTATTTTCTGGTTTCTAGTGGAATGATGTAAGGCATATTTGTTTCAATGTCAAGTATTATAAGCTCAGAGGGGTGCAATCATCAGTGAGACTTTTTGTTTTGTCTTTTTTTATTCTTTTGTGGAAGCTGGAATTCTTGTGACATCCCAGCATAAAACATAAGCTAATCCTAACGAGAATGTACTGTATGTATGCAAAGTTGATTTGTCATGATATGGCTTTTTGTAATTATGTAGTAGCTTGATTTGCTCTTCTCTATGTTATCAGAGGACAATAAACTAACAACTCTAATTGTTACTGTACTATCGTCAAAACATACATTATAGCTCTACTGGGTTTAGCGTTCACCAAGGGGATCCTTTTAGGTACCTTTACTGATGTCATCTTGTTATCATTAAAATATTTTGTCTCACTTTTGTGCAGATGTTTATTCTAGTAAGGATTCATGTACTGTGTATAATGTACAGCAGGTGTCTCCAACCTTTTTCACCCAGAGAGCTACTTTCCCGGGACGATAAAAGCAGGGAGCTAAAAAATAATAACCCTGGAAAAAAATGGTGATATATTGTTGAGAACTAGCCTGATATTGGGCACAGTCATTATTTATCATCACATATTTGTTACTAGTGACAAAGTAAGTGCATTTACAATAATATAATGAAAATGAATAATACAATCTGAAATGTTAAGTATATTATTTGATTTGTTCATTTCTAAATGCTACTTGGAAGGGGGTGGCGAGCTACTAGTGGCTCCCGAGCTACAGGTTGGAGACCCCTGATGTGCAGCAATAACTGTATACTATGCAGTTCTTAAATGACCCTCTTGCCTTGATCATTTCATTTTTACATTAGACCACTACCAAAAACCCACCTCCATTCATTACATCAGAGGGGAAAGATAATATCAAAATATAGTTGGTGTTCCACATATTAAAGCTGGGTTACGTAACTTTTTGCGTCTTAAAAAATACATGCAGAACATGTTTATAAGCTGCCTTCATGCTGTCTTCGTCCTAATATCAAAAAATGTTATGGAAAGAGCCCTGTGAGTCACTACTTGAGGTTTTGGGCGGAGAGCTAATTGGTCACTTCTGTTTGTAACTTTTATATATGAGGAAGGTGATCTTAAAATGACAAAATTATGAATGCAGGTGAAAATTAGATACAGTATAGGAAGGTGTCTTTTTGCAAGAGTGATGTACGAGTTTGATGGATTGAATTACAAAGTTTAATTTTGTGTGGTGTTAAAGTTAGGTGCCCCGCTTTAAGAATATAACGTTCCTATATGAGACAAAAAAGGCAGTAGAAGTCTGTCTGTGTTGAAACCAGTCTTGAGCAGGTTCGACAGTTAGACAGTGAAACGTCTCAAGTGAACACATAGGTTAAAGGACACCCTGGTTTCAGCTGTCTGACTGCAGAATCCACCTGACTCTGAAAAAATGAGCTAACGTTTCACACTCTAGAAATATGACTGCATTCAAGACCAGGACGTCATGGGCACGTGAGGCTAAAGGTCCAGAGGTCACTTTTTATGACATGTCCTGACCAACCGGGGGCCCTAAGCAGAGTTTGAGGCCTTCCATAAATTTTTGTCATATAACAGCAATATGTGTGTGTGGATGTTTGGGGATTGTTGTATTTATCCTGCTTTTGGTAACTGTAGCAACATGGGCGGATGTGAAAAATGCATTGAGATTAGACTTACAGTTCCTCTTGATCATCATGCGTTTTTTTCACATACCAGACAACTGCAAAGTGAAAGCAAATGGATACATGATTATTTTATTTATTTATTTTAAAAACGCTGAAAAGTACGGCATGCAAACGTAATCATACAGTATGAGTAAATATGATGTGGAATCCCGAGCTCCAACGGCTTTTCTTCCATTTTGATGCATAGACCATTCCATTAACTCTGTAACTCAGTGACTTAAGGCCGGTGGCTCTGACAGCCCACCTCATAAAGACGCTGGAGTTTGCAAGGAGCTTGGTAACTTGAGCACTATCCTCTCTTTATTTGCCATCATTATGACTTTTATGACCCATTGTCTGTTTTATGGCGTGATGATGGGACCCCTGAACCTGGCCTTCTCTATCGGCACCAACTGACTGTTCTCCCCAGCCTTGGCCCTGGTTCTGCAGAGTCCTGGATCTATAGTCTGTCCATCCGTGGAAGCGGATCCCTCCCTCATTGTGGATGCAGGAGGGTCTAAGGACACCAATGGACACACTGTCAACTAAAAATTGTTCACCTTACTAAGATATTTGTATTCACTTACAATAGAATTGCAAGTTGGAACTTGAACTGTCTGTTGTGAGCCAGTTGAACTAACTTTCAGAAGTTTCTGATGAAAAGTTCATCATATTTGATAAATTAAGTTCATTTTACTTTGAAGTTGTTGTTGACATGTCAACTACAACTTCAAAATAAAATTAACTTAACTTAATCAACTTCTGAAAGTGAGTTCAAGTGGCTCACAACAGACAGTTCAAGTTCCAACTGTCAATTTTATTGTCAGTGAATGCAAAAGTCTTAGTAAGGTGAGCGCTCATTTCAAAGTTGTCATGGCAACCGGCTGCATTCAACATTTTGAATAAAATAATTTGACCAAATAAATCATTGTATTTATTTTACCAACCATAATCGACTGGGCCAAGCCAAAGAAGCCATATATGACTATCGAATGAGCTTGAATTGTTAAGTTCATTGCATTTATAAAACTAAAACGCAGTGTTAATAAAGACTGTGTTTAATGAACTTATATTATTATGTTTATGGTATTTATAAAAGTAATCTTTATTGAATGAATTTCCTTCAGAAACATTAGTTTTCCCCACTATTCAGGTTTACAGTGTGTGTGGCACGGTGGCTGAGTGGATAGCACTATCAAATCCCGGTCGAAACAAGGCCTTTCTGAGTGGAATTAGAATGTTCTCTGTGTATGCATAGGTTTCCTCCAGGTACTCTGGTTTCCCCTATCCAAGTGACCTAGGTCTGTAAAATATGCTATATAATGAAACATGATGATGAAACAGGAGGATTTAATGTGGGGGGTGATATAAACTCAAAATAGTAAGTTATTGCAGGGGACGGTAATCTGAACTTTAAAAAAGTAAGTTTTTAAAGACTTGAAAGTTCCAGTAACTTGAATAAAAAAAACTTAGTCGGCAGAACTTGGAAAACTTAGTAGGCAGATCTTGGAAAACTTAGCTGACACAACTTGATAATTGTAGTTCTTCAAAACGTAAAAAATTAAGTTGA